ACTAAATCATTCGGATTTTTCTAACATCCAGACCGGCTGTGGTCCAGACATTCCGATTTATCAGAGCTCTAAAAACTCTAAAATATTTATATGCGTGCTTTCTTGAGGCCATTTACTTTCTTTTGGAGGGTGATTAATTAAGTAATGTAAAACTTTCATCAAATCTTCCTTATCTCCTTTTTGCAGGAGAAAAAAGAAAGTGCCATTTACCCTGTAAATTTGCTGGTAATTTTACCTACAGCTCTACGACCCTTAGGTTATTGTAGACTTCTCTAAGTGCAAGTTTTTTAAGAAAACAGTTCGAGTCTTTTCCTCAAACAGCTAGAAAGATGCATAAGTAATGAGGCGAAGGACACAGGAAACGTGTAGTTAGTCAACTTCATTGAGAAGGCACGTGGGTTGTTTCAACTAATCAGCACGTTTTTCTTTGTCTCGCGTATTGTTTAGTAGCTTTGAAATACATCACGTAAGCTCTTACAATTAAGCATTTGTTTATTAACGTGACAGTTAGGCACTAGTATTTTCATTCATTTTAATCTCGGCTGTGTGATATTTTACATTTAAAGGCAAGATTACGGCAGCCTAAAATGAATGCTAGAATGCCATCTAAACCAATATATAAAGTTTTGACAATCATTTGAGTTCAATAATTAATATACTTATAGCTTTTACATACTGCAGTCAACGTATTCGTAGCACAAGTTAAAAAATAATAAAATGTCGATAAAATATTAAAGTGTTAGTTAAAGACAAATATCATTTACATTTTAGTGACTGAAAAATATTATTTATTATTTTTGTTATTTTATCTGTTTTCATATTAACTGTTTATCTGTGTATCTGTTTCACAAACATATAAGAAAACTTTCTTACTTTAATTTCTTTGAGCCCCTGAAGTCTCGTTTTTAATTTGGTTATTCCCACTTTCTATATTAAAAAATAATAAAATACTCACTATTAATCTTTCTAATGTAAGTAGTTTCAAATTAATCACTGTGATATGACTATTACAGAATGGCAAAATTAAAAGTATAATCTTTTGTTCAATAATAGACAAAACCAAATTTTATCAGCCAATACTAATTAAGTGATATACAATACACATATGTATAGTACAGACACATATGTGTCTGTACTAGAAGTCAAAGTAGTTTCACCATTCTTAACCGAATAACAGTAACTAAAGCTTCCTCTTCTAACGTCTTTCGGAATAATAATAATTTTGATGGCACAAATAAGATTCAAAAACTAGAGCTTTTGTCTTTAACAAGTAGTAGTGAATTTTCTCAGATAATGCATTTATGCGTAGTTCATACATTATCTAATGCAATAAAGCATTAGAAGAGCTGAAACGGTTGCACCTGATAAAGCCAATACGTCTATATGCCTAACAGGAGGGATATCTTCGTGGAGAACCTTTTGAGGGAATTGGTTGGTTTTCACGTTACCCATAGGCAAAGCCACGAAGCCAATCATGCAGCCAGCCTTTATGGCCTGAGATCGAAACCAAGCCAGATCAAACTACCAGCATTCAGCGGTCCTAATTTGTTCGACCACTAGTGGAGCTTTTCCACGCAGTAAAGGCAAGTGTTACAAGAATGAGATGTTAAATGATAAATTTTGTAACTAATCTTACATTAAGAATGATAAAAATATTTAAATTTTCTGATTAATTTATCTTAATTTATAAGTTTTTTTTACTTTAATGAACCCATTTATTTTATTACCTTGGCTTTATTATTACTGCTATATTCGTCAATTTCTACCTGAATGCATATTAGTTAATAGTATATACTATAAGAGCTGAGTTCTTGGGTTTGAGGCACTGGGTTTGCCTGCGATTGCTAACCAGTTACTGTGCTGCATCTCACTGCTACTTAATTCACTCATCGGATTTAGCTTCGCAAGCCGCGTTTCCTTCATGAATATGCAGGGCCTGAGCCAAAGCTTAATTACAAAGCTTCTGTTGTTGGTTTTCGGTGAGAGGTCTAGGGTTCCAGTCGCGGCGAAGGTACTGCACATTTTTCATGTTCCTGCATTTATATAATCTAATGACCCTACAATCGTTTTTAGTTAGTTAGCTGCTGTTTGATCATTAACTTCTGGAGAGCAATTTATAATTAAAAAGGAAAATTATTTTGCACTCTTAATACAATGCTTTGGAATATTTTGACATTTAAAAACGCATTTTCAAGAGGTGTTTTGTTTGCGAACATAAATCAGAAGCGTTGTTACAGGTTTTCTATCCTATTTCTTTAAACCTATTGCCATAACATACGTTTTGAAGTATAAACAAAGACGCAATCTGAAAGTGTGCCCTACAATCGAACGATTAGAGGAAGTGGGTTGTTCTACGTCCAGCCGGAAGTAGTTGCACCGTTTCCTCTACATCCGTCCTCTCAAATGGAAGATTTTCGGGGTCAGACGAAAATAGAATTTTGGATATTTAAATACGCTTTTTTGGTATTATTTTGCTAGATACTTTGTTCTGAAGTGTAGGTTTAATCTATCACAAAATGTTAAGGAATCTTCTAAAATGTTCAAATGTACTTTTTGTTGATCCTGAGTTTTGCTTCCATGCAGCTTAAAAAAAGTCAGAATTTTTCCCAAACGAAATTTGCCGGATCTGAAGTGTTCTGCGAGATATCAGTAAGATTTCCGCAAGAAATGGTAATGAATAGGCTAATCGTATAAACTGATAATTATTAATTTTTATATTCGGGTTGTCTAAAACAAAAACATTATTTTAAGGATTCCGAAAAGGACAGAATGGTAAAGAAATTTAGTTTAAAATATACAATGCTGAGAGTAAAAACATGAGGAATTATACAATTGCTTTGAACTGACCTTTCCTTCTTCATCTGTATAAAAAATGCACATATTTTACAGTAGGTAACATCAATCCAAAATGAACATTGAATTAAATAAAATGCATCAACTAAAATTCCTTGTACGTATTGTTAGGGACAAAGGGACAATTTGCCCAGAAGGGCTATTAATTTCGTTTTGGCTTTTTGCGCCGAAAACACTAAAAGTCTGAATCACTTTTCAAATTGTTGCCACCAAATATTATCGCCCGGTATTACATTTAAAGAAATTAAATAATGAAGAATCTGCATAAATGTACATATGCTTCTCTCATTGTGATAAAACGACAGTACCTAGAGCCATCAAAATTTAAATAACGTGCGCCTCCACCCCAATATGGACATCTGGAAGCCCAAATTTGGAATTTGTTTTATTATCTGTTTCATATTTTGTAAAGAATTTATGAGTTTTGATTAAGAAACTCAGCTATTTGAAAGCGAGCAACGGCAATACTGTACGGGAGAAAAGAAAAAAACAATTATCTCCTGCGCGCTAGACTGTATATCCGAAATTCTAAAGATTTGCTCTTTTTAAATTATTTTATGATATTATATGTTGAATTGAATTTTATGGTTCAAGTGCGAAAAACATGATATTTAATAATATTAAATAAATAAAAAGAGAACACACAAAATGTTAAAAAAACGCTCCTTTCGGCTTAATATAAAATCTCCAAAGGGGCAATTTCCTAGTACAAAGGGACAATTTGCCCAGAAAGGCTATTAATTTCGTTTTGGCATTTTGCATTCTTTCACATTTCAAATTTTTGCCACCAAATATTAGAGCCCTGTATTATATTTAAAAAATTAAATAATGAATAATCTGCACAAATGTATGTATGTTTCTCGCATTGTGATAAAACGACGGTATCTATAGCCATCAAATTTTGAATGACGTACGCTTTAACCCGAATACGGGTATCTGTAACCCGAATCTGGAATTTTTTTTATTATGTATTCCATATTTTGTAAAACTTTAAATGTTTGATTAACAAAATAACGATTTCAAAGCGAGCAATGGCAACAAAATACAGTACAAATACAGTATTTTCGTACAGTAATACGGAAAAAAATCGAAAATTCTAAATATATGCTCAGGCGATGTTGCTGTTGAACTGAATTTTATGGTTCAAGTGATAGAAGTTAGAACATGATCTTTAATAATTAAAGGTAGCACGCAAAACGTTGAGAAAACACTCCTTTGGGCGTATTGTAAAATCTTGTAAAATCTGAAAGCTTTCAGATTTTATTTTATTATTTTTATTTATTTATTTATTTATTTATTTTAATTGCTTTAAATGTAGGTTTTATAATCTGAAGTACGAACAAAACTGAAGTAGTAAAATTATTTGTTACTCAGTATTGATTACCGAGTTCAACATCAAAAGTCTTTAAACAAAAGACATCCGAAAAAAATTTAAACAGCAGGAATTTTAAATTAAGCTATAGTTCACTAAACAAGCACAATTAAAATACCGAGTAATTTCACAAAATTGTAAACACGTCTTAAATTTACACGTGGTAGCACGTGTTAAATTCCCTATCTCTTATCGGCCGGAATAATTTAGCAGTTATAACGATACCTTGATGTAAAGATCCGTTTCCTTTTCTTTCTTTATTCAATTGCTAAATGTTTCTTATATTCCTTCGGGAAGAAGATCTATCCGCTATTCCGAAGACAGTCCACTATTCTATGTCGGCAAAAGGGGTCTTATAAGGTTAACATTTACAGACAATTCAAGCAATCCAAATGCATTCAGGAATGGGCAGAGCACTAAAACAATTGTCTGCGTGAGACGTCGTAAACAAATTAATTTTTAGATTTGAAAGAGAACTGCCTTATGATAATATTCACTCTACAAGAACTTCCTGTGAACGCTTTGAACATAAGTATATATTTATAGAAATTGTATATATATGTTACATATAAAACGTTTTACAATTTTGACTTGTATCTGAGGAAAAATAATATCTTACATTAAAAGCTTTCACACAAGCTGTTCCGCTATTTTTCTAATATATTTCATTATAATATGTATTTGTCTCAGAGTTTTCAGATTAATCACTAATAGAATAAAATTCGACAGTATGTTACATGTGATTAAAATTTTATTCATATATTTTCTTTTCCAGGCTGAGTTTTTCAACTTGTATTTTCATAGTGGTTCTAAACAGCTTCTCTGCAAGGTTCACATTTGCGCAGGTAAGTTTAAATTACAGATCATTTTCACTGAAATAGTTCTTTATACTCGTAGTATACATGAGACGTAATTAGCTGAAATGTCTGGTTACTGCAATCTCCAAATTTACAAAGAGTTTTATCACTGGTCGTCCAAAACGTTAATAACTTTCAATTTAAAAAATCATTTTTGATTGTTTTCATATTCATCTATGAGATATTTCGTTGCTACGTGAATAATTTTTGATGCATTGGCAGTGTAATTTAATAAGCAGTATGACAACAAAATTGTAGGCAATATGAGACGTATTTCATAACTTCTAAGGATCAGAAATAATTAAACACGATGCGATACAATAGTTCCCGAACTCTCATGTAAATATTATTTTCTCTAACAATGGGAATTCTCTGTGATTATTGATATTTAAAGAAAACGTGTTTCACCCGCAGTGAATGCTTATGCATGGCGGGATACCAAATACATTGAGCGGGAGATGGGAAGGTTAGGTTAAATCATTTGAATACGGCAAAGCTGACCAAGGCTATTTGCCTAAGAGAAAAGATGCCTTCGTGAGGACTTTCTAATGAAACTATCTATTCACGTTACACATGATCAAATATTCAGCAGCTTGTTCAAATAAGTTCAAACGGATCAAACTATCCGCTTCAGCAATCTTAACCTCTCGACCAAGCTGGAAGTTCTACAAAACAACAGCAGAAATAGCGTAATACACCTGTCAGCATTTGAACCAGTGATGAGGAAAATATATAGGGTATAATGGTTAGGAGAGCTTACTACGGTACCGAAGGGCCCGGGTTTGAATCCCGGAAAGGCATTGATGTTTGTAAATGTATATGTGTCTTTGCGGCATGTAGAAACTCTAAATATATGGCGAGCCGGAAAAATCCTCTCGTATAAATTCGTGGTTGGGGAGAGAAACCCTTGGACCTCGGGGTGCATTCTCTCAAATTTGGGGTGGAAGTAGAAGTCCAACCTCCTTGAGGCTCTGGCAAGGACAAGACAACAACAACAACATGAGAAAAATACAGTAGCACGTCGGTATAGGCCATTAAACCGTTCCAGGTTCTTGGACGAATACCAAATGAACATTTTCGATAAGAAATAAAGAAGAAGTAATTCATTCCTTCTTATAAAAAACACCATTGCTTAATACTAAAAACATATACTTAATACTAAATATACCTATACTTAATACTAAAAAACAAATGCACTGGTACTGACTGGTACTAAAATACAAATGCAGTAGTATATACTGAAATATACTGTACATAAATGAAGTTCTGCATATACTACTATACATAAATGTTTCTCTGCTATCCAGATCAAAGGCAATTTTTCACCATACTCTGACATCTCTGATCTCTGTTTGGTAATCGATTCTCTGCCTCACTTCGCAACGTAAAACGATTTAGTAAAACGATTTAAAAACGATTAAACGAAAAAGATTTAATAGCGTCTTCGTTTCTTGACATAAGAGATGTCATTCCCAAATTCCGGATAAGGCTATCTTCATTCGTTTCAGCAACCTCTTTTTTCAACTCCATGGTGATCCTAACAATTTTCTTCGCAGTTTGACTCTTCTCATTAACTTTCCTAACTCTCATGGTTAATGAATTTAGAAAACCATTACTAGAAAACACATACAATCACTTAAAAATTCAGAGTTATAGCGCGAGTTGTTCACTGAATAGTAGCAACAGGTATACTGACGCACATGAGCTGTCGTAAAATTGTCTCAACAGAGGTAAGCAAATGTAGTGTGGGCAGTCGTTACTTATTGAACTTGTATCGTAATTTTATACAAATATTTTATGCCGAAACAAAATTTTTTCGCGTCCAAACAGGCAGTACAACGGACAGATGTTAATGTGATAGCGGTTAATGTTAACATTCGAATACTGTTATTTCTTTGCTGAAGTCCAGCCCGATTGTATACGAAAACATGGAAAATACATAGCTTACTGTTATCAAGAACTCATTTAATATGGTGAAACTATTATAGACTAAAATTTTTGGGCTAAAATAAAGTGGCCAAATAAAAGATAACTTTGTCAAATAAGGTCAAAACAGATTATAACAATTGGCAAATAACATAGAAATGTCGCCAAGTGAAGGGTCAAGTCGCCAAAGCTTGGTTTCAATTTCAGTCAACTTTTAAAATTAAGAGCAAAAGGAATCTTAGTTTCAAGTAGATTTCAAATAACTATATCGATTTCGAGGACGATCAGGCGCAAGTGCCTTATTCAGAAAAAAAAAAAAAAAAAAGCTGCAGAATTTTTTTTTCTTTGGCCTTGAAAGAAAAAAATCACTGAAAACATTTGCGACACATAGGGGGCCTTTTTTTTTTAATTTAAAATTTTTCACTGCCACGTTCTCTTCCAATGAAGGATGCCTTCCAAATATTAATATCAATGATACAGTATCTGTCAAATAATTTCCGAAAACGTTATAACAGTTCCGAACAGTTTGTAAAGATTCTGTACCGATGTGTACTGTGAAACAACAAGATAGAAGGGTAAACTAACTCTTTATTATTCTAACTAAAGTTTAACAAAACTCCGCCTTGGAGTGTACAATAAAGCCGACACTCGGGCTTCAACTTAGGAAACTAAGAATTAAAACTTAACTAATCTTAACTAAAAAGATATAGCCAAAGCTATCAAAATTCTAACGGAGTTGGCCCCTTAACGCTAATTGACTGAGAATCTATTAAGGGCCTAAAGTACGGCCGAGCGTAACATTAGCTTAAGAGAGAGTAGCGTAAAAAAGCGGACGCGTTGCTAGCCAGAATCTCTGGTTCTCTCTGTAAGACGGTAGAACTTCGCAGTTAAATACCACTCTTCCTCCACTTGCATTCAAACGTGATTCTAAAACTACGTTCTGGCCGGAAGTGGTAAGTTGAAATTAAGAAGCGATAGGACAGGAAGTTTAACTCAAAATTTAACTGTTAGTTAAATAAATATAATTCTTACAAGTTCATGAATGAACTTTTGTATTAAAGATATTATCGAAAACTCATAAGCAAACTTTTGCATACTGCTAATTTAAAATGCTATGGAAATACCTATTTATCCGTTTCTTGATATTTCTATATTATTTCGTCGTTATTTGGAAGGATACTTTTTCTCATAGTTTAATGTTATCAAAATAACCGTAGATAAACAAGATCATATTAACAGACGCCGAATGTATTTTAAAGAGAACGTATATCGAGGTATCACTGAATTTGATTATGCGGATGTGTACTGAAGAGCATGATGTTATTTTCAGCATCTTCTGTAAAAAGATATTTTTATTCACGCTTTTATAATTTAATGATCCTGTGAATTAATACCTTACCCTGAAAATGAATCAGCATTAAAGTAAGGTATGAACTTATTAGCTTAAAGTTCGAAATGTCTGAAATACACTGTGTTACAATTCTGTCCAAGATATACAACGGTGTCATAGCTAGTCACAACCTTAATACACAGTTGACTTTTCATAGTTTTAATGACTGTGGTAAGTTAACAGAGGGAGAAAAATAATTGCAACTTTCATTTGAGATTCGTTTTAAGGAAAACAAACAAAAACTAAGAGTTTTCACAAAACAGTCAAGGAAATTATCTATGTGTGATAGTGCAAGGAAACATATCTGCGTAAAATATGAAAATTTTGGTTCTTAAATTTGGCAGAGAACTCTATTCTTCTGCATGAGAAATACTAAAGGGTGACATAAAATATTTTCGACTGCTGCTATGTATTTAATTGCCTCATAGTTACATATGTATTGTCTGTTCTCAAGTTAACTGCCGGCATCATCATCAGGGTTTAAACCTCTAGCACTTTTTGCAAGTTACACGTTTCCTCCCTATATCTTTTCTCTTTGCTTCTTACTAAACGTCATAAACGTCTTTCAGCTTTATAAGCACTTCGTTAGATTTATATTAGACATTACCTTAGAAATCGTGCAAAATATAAATAAATAACTAACGAGAAATGCAAATTGGCAATAAATAGAGTATTTATAATATATTATCTATCATTTCCTCTTCTCTTCTCTTTGTATAAAAACATTACTGAACGGGCCAGGATTTCGTACTTACACATTTCATTCAATCTATGCCAATTTAAATATTAAAATGTAAGCTTAGTATTTTATTTTGCATTTCATTAACGGTATTTCAAATAAGATACTTTATTGTAAAACTTAGAAACTGCATTTTGCTCCTTTATGTCATTCTTCATTATGTTATTCAGTTTATTTTTGCATACACAAGCACATGTATAATTAAAGCCAAAGTTCGAAATCTAGTTACTTCACGAAATTACTTTTTCTTCACGTTTTAGACAACATGATTTGGCCCTCCAGTAAAAAATACTTCACATTTAATGTGCACAATGATTCTTCATGACTGTAATGATGAATTTGTATGAACATTTTCTCGAATGTACAAAATACTCAGGTTTATTGATAAAAATACTTTTTTTCCCTGGGCTAAAATTTTGAAGTCCCTAGAACTTTTTTTTTCTGTGGCGGTATCTATTTCTAGAGTATGCATGAGAATATGGGAATTATAGCAAACCTAGAGACAATAAAACTAGCTGAACTCAGTAAATTGCTCAAGAATATCGTGACAGGAAGAAATATGTACTACTTATACTTTTTTGCCTGGAACAGCGTGGACAAACTTGCAGCAGTACTTACAGTTTTATCTTTGCGTTAAAAAGTACATGTCTCTATAAAGCTTTCTGATTAACATGCGAAAGTAGATGTATAGATGTGAATAAAAGATTAATATAATTTCTAAGTTAAAGCTTAAAGCTTTGTTGAGTCATTAGGATTTTTTTAAACAGGAGACATGAAAAATGAGCAATGCCCTCGCCGGGACTCGAACCTGGACCTCTCGAATACGCCCCGAGTGTGCTACCATAAAACCATGAAGGCATGCTGAAAGGAAGGAGAAATATATTATAGCTTCCTTTCATATAATTGACGCGGAAGAGCATGAATTAAGAGTGTTATGTTGACATCTCGCTCTTCCAGACTTCTTGGTTTATTCCTGTACTTTCTCCCGTTATATAACTTCACATAAATAATGCAGAGGAGATAAGTTTGCACACAGAAAAAAATTTCGAGATATGAATTCCCACAATACCTTCGAAATGATAGGCTTCTTTTTTCTGACATTCTAAGCTGTCCATGGACCATGAAAACCAACTTCGGTTTCTACACATTACATATTTTTGGAATGTGCAGACACTGATTTCTATGAACACTCTATTAAAGAGATTCATTACATTACATATCTTTGCAGAGTTACGCAAGTCTGCCTCAGTATCCATCCCAACAACCTTATTGGAACGCGTCTGGTATTGTACAACAAGAATCGGGACCATGGGGTCCATGGACACAAAGTAGTGATTGCTCAAGAACCTGTGGTGGAGGAATAGCTTACCAAGATAGGATATGCATGGATATCAGGTGAGTTCTATTTTAAGTTTCCTTTCCTGTGTGCACAAATATTCTTGTAAAAATGATTACGTATGATTCTGTTAAATATAATAATTTTGTTTATGCGCTGAACGAGCTGGAAGAATTCAAAGATAGAATTTTTAACCTAAGACAATGAATGTTTTGGTCTAATAATTGAGATTTCATATTCATTTAAATTTATTATGAAATAAAATTTTTATAACACTTGTTTTGACTATATTAATTCCTTTGTCTGAAACTTGGATCTGTACTGCTTCTTGAACAGATATGTTATGTTTTCAGATTACGTTATTTCTTCTTAAAGAAGTATGTAATGTTGTTCTTTGGTCTTAGCTTCCTGCTTAAAATCATTTATCTTTTTAGATGTTTAACTGGGTAACTGAGTTCTTGTTGTTACTGTTCTGAGTGAGACCACAATTCCACAGGAATCGAGCAGTTCAATTCTTAATTATTTTCCCCCTTTTTTGCATGATATAACTTGATTGGCTTAGAACCTCTGGGTAAAGTTATTTTTATATCAATTATTAGAGACTGGTTTTATACAGATCAGCTTGAGTTAATGAAAACATAAATTGCTCGTACGTTAGTTCTACATTGACATACAGTTATAAGGTACACTGACTACCAATAAGTATTTGGACACCTATGCAAGTGACGGTATCTGTGGTCCTAAGGTACGTCACGGACTCCGCCGGTATATATCGTGTAGGAAACAGCATCGGCTTTAGTCGCATGCAAGATGCCTCGCAGTTCGGAGCTCTCTGATTTCGAGAAAGGCATAATTATCGGGTATCACAAATGTGGCCGATCCTTAAGGGAAATATCTAGCGATCTGAAGTACCCAAAATCGACAGTGGCCTATGTGATTAAGAAGTGGAAGGTGAGCGGTGATTGTTGGAATGTGCCCCGAGTCGGTAGACCAGCGAAACTGGGAGATAGAGACCGACAAGTGCTGTCCAGAGAAATTCGAAGAACCGCACCCACCGATGGCCGTCATCCGTGATTTTCAACAGGCATCCGGGAGTATTGTTTCAAAGAATACCATCCGTAAGGAAGCACATCTGCTTGGTTTTCATGGTCGTGCTGCTGCCCATAAGCCTTTGACCACAAAGTCCAACCGCGCTGCTCGGTTAACGTGGTGCAAAGCACATCGAAATTGGACGGTAGATCAGTGGAAACGGGTTCTTTGGAGTCACGAATCAAGGTTCACCCTTTACCGTTCGGATGGCAGGGTCTGGGTCTGGTGTCTACCTGGAGAATGTCTCCTGCCAGAATGCATTGTGCCAAAAGTAAGTTCGGCGAATGTGGAATTATGGTCTGGGGGTGTTTCTCCTGGTATGGGCTGGGACCCTTGGTCCCCATTCATGGTCAGCTCAACTCCGATGTCTACTGCACTATTTTGGATGACAATGTGCTTCCTACGTTGTGGCAGTTTTACGGGTTGGACCCCTGTTACTTTCAGGACGACAATGCCAGTTGTCATGTTTCGACGTTAACCAAGGCTTGGTATGGTTCCAATGGAGTTCATCGAATGGACTGGCCTGCCCAGAGTCCAGACTTGAACCCTATCGAGAACCTCTGGAATGAGTTACATTTCCGAATCCAGTGGTGCACTACCCGTGCAAAATCGGTGAAGGAACTTCTATGTCTTCTCCAAGTCGAGTGAAAGAAAATACCACTAGCTGTCATACAAAGACTTGTGGAAAGTATGCTCATAGGGTCCCCGCTGTAATTACCTCTCGTGGAGGCTCTACCAACTATTGATTTTGAATAAAGTTAGTTTTTCTTTTCTATCATAGGTGTCCAAATACTTATTGGTAGTCAGTGTATTTCTCCCGCCTTCTTAGCATGCCTTCGTGGTGTAATGGTCAGCACTATCGGCGAGTATTCGAACGATCCGAGATTCGAGTTCCGGCTATGTCATTGCTCATTTTTCATCTCTCTTGCTTTCAAAAAATACCTAATGTCTCTACACAGTGCTTAAAGAATGGTCAGGTTTTCATCAACAATTTCACTCTGAATGACCAAGGTTATGTTATAGAAAAACCAAACGTAAGACATCAGTGGTGATAGGTATGATGTTGACCATACTAAGACCATAAAAGGGTCACAGAAGAGGTTGTCACTTAATTGTTGATGTGCCTAATAGGTGGTTCACCGTTGCCTCCTATGAAGGAACAGTTTACATCCACGCCTTGTCCGGGATTCAAATCCAGGCCCTTCGTTACGGCAGTCAGAGTCGCTAATGATTTGCTTCAGTACATCCAATTATTTGAAATTCTCCATATCTTTGCTCATGTATAATTTTGCTCTTTTTAATTCAATTATTTTGTTGCTTATGCCTTATAGAGACATTAGGTTATTTGGAAAAGCCGGAGAGATGTAAAATTAGCAACGAATTCGCCGGGAATCGAACCACGGACCTTTACCCAAATACCGGCCCAGAGTGCAGAACCACTACACCACGAAGGTACGATAGGAAATTTAGATTTTAAATAATATCGAATCTGTTGATATGGCAATAAGTTAGTTATTCCCTTTCGTTCTGATTTATAGTCGTATTTGAAGAGATTTTTTTTATCCAGACATACTCAGCTGTTTTCTTTTGGAAAATATTTTCTTATGGTTTTCTTCAATTGAAAAAGGTGCTCTGTTATATAATGTTGTTGTAACTTATCTCACTTGCCTGACAGTAACATCAGAACAAGCCGACGAAATTCATCGTGGCAAGGAGTGCAAGATTCCGCATGTCGTTGGCAAGAGCCTTGAGCACCATACTCCCCTCCGCCCAAACTTTTTATGGAGAGCACCCCGGGTGACGGGTCCGAGGGTCTCCCCCCTTTCTTCTTCTACCACCACCTCTCTGCAGAACTTCCGGTTCGCTGCATATTTAGGGTGCTCCCATGCCGATAGACTCTATACATACATTACATTTTAAATTTTTTGTGTTAGAAAAGTGCTAAATTTTACTATGCCTAACAAAATATTCTGTAAATTACTCTAAAATTCAAAATGTTTTAAAAGTTCATTTCAGGATAATCAGACATGTGTACTTTAATTACACAAACAATTTCAGGAGTGTATCTAAAGCAGATTTTGAGAAAAGGTACATTCTCAATGGCAATGTTAAATTGGGCATTCGAAAATGCCTAATTTAAAATTGTCGGTATAGGGGTTGCTGATACCCCTCAATTTACCAAATATGAATTTTTATTTAAATTTTGAACACAGTGCAATTTTATATTTACTAATCCTTTTTTTTTTCTTTTGTAACAAACACTGATAGTTTAATCTTGATTTTCTCCTTTCAAGAGCCGATGGAAGATATTCCTGTATAGGTGCCACGAGAAGATATTTCTCATGCAATGTTCAAGTAAGGACTTTGTTTTCAGGTGTTCTAATGAGCATATTAGTATTTAGATGACAAAAGTTTATTATTTCATTTATTTTTTTTAGGAATGCCCGCCTGGTTCAAAAGAATTCAGATCTGAACAATGTGCCAGGTTCAACACAGTTCCATACAATGGAAAGTACTACAGTTGGCTTCCTTATTATAATGGTAATAAATTTTTAATGTATTCCTGTATTATCACTCCGTTTATTAAAAAATTCTGATGTGTACACCACGTGACATTCTTGTATGGGATATTAAATTTTCCCTCATATCATTTACACTTATTTCCTCATTTCATTACACTTTTCCCTCATTTCATTTACACTTATTTCCACGAATTCCATTCAAAATATCTTTATCAAAAATTGAAGAATATAGAAAAATATAAAACACCAAATACAGTTAAAACAATTTTTAAAAATTTACAATTAAAATTAGAGTTTCTACGCAAAAACAAGCAATTCGGTCAGCGGCCAAGAAGGCAGATATTTGGTGCACAAAGCTGAGTTTACTGTTGGTCCCACTCGATAAAAAGGACACTGAAGGTGCAGAAGCTGACTTGATTCAATATTCTTCTAAGTTTCAAATGTAAACAAAGAATGGCTGCTGAATCAAATAAAATGGCTTACCCGCACTTAAACAACTTTTAAATTGTTGATAATTCCACAGCTATCGTATGCATATTAACTAAAGGCATAAAAACCTTGATCGGAAGATAAGAATGATATAATTCAAACATTTCAATTTAAGTAAAAAATGCACAATTTACCGACACATAAAAATAAAAATAAACTGAACTCACAGGGCCGTGTAACAAAATGGATATACATATATTGAATGAACTAAAGTTCGTTGAAATCGAAAACAAGTTTTTCTAATACTTTGTTGTCTACTTTTAATTTAAATCTTTACTTATTTGCAAGTGCCAAGTGATGACTATTTGTATCTTAACTGTCCAATATTTTTTTTAATAATGTCGTTAAATCCTAAGCACTGAGCACGAGTCAATATATTCATTCTAGAATTACAAAGAGGAGAACTAGAAGAATTCTTGAATCAAGTAAGAAATAATAGATGTTTGCCAATCAGAAGACGAGACAGAAAATATGTTTCTTTTTTATTCCAAAAGTTTCGTTATAACGTTCACGCGAAAGAATACAAAATGAATAAAATGCGCCATCAGAAATGTTTGTTGCGCATCAACTACACCATCAGAAATGTTTAGTTTTGTTTTTCCAATACTTGTTACTAATTTTGATTTTTTTTTTTTTTTTTTTTTTTTTTTTTTGTTGTTTTGTTGTTGTTGTAACTTATGTCTGACAACAACATGAGAACAAACCCACGAAATTCAACCGGGCAAAGAGTACAAGATTGCACCTGTCCTTGGCAAAAGTCTTGAGCACCGTACAGGTGACAGTATGACTTTGCTAGGCACCGCTCCCAACCCCGAAGGGGCGGGCCCGAAAGTCTCCCCCCCCTCTTCCCCTACCATCAGCTTCTTGAAGGGACTTTCGGCTCGTCGCATAATTGTAGGATCGCCAGGCCACACTGACACTATACATTTACAAACATCCATGTCTCCTCCAGGATTCGAACCTGGGCCCTTCGGAACGGCAGTCAGTGTCGCTAACCACTATTCCGATTGGACCGCATAATTTAGTTTACACATTTGAAGCAATTATAAAACCAAATTTAACCCTTTCGCCGTCCTCACCTGTCCGCGAAAATCCCCCCCCCAGCGGCCGTTTGTTTTTCGTAGCGTGTAATGTTGTTTTCTCTGTACATTTTAACTTCCCATACATAACTTTCGTAGTGGATGAATGCCAGTGAGTATAAGTAAAATTATAATGTTTTAAAGCATAATGGAAAAATAATAAATATAAAATATCTCTGCTTATTTCTAACAGCAGGATAATTTGATGTTATTGTTATAATAACACAGTATATTTCACAAACCACTTCCTCCTCCCTCTGCGCTGCTGAATCTATCTCAGTCTGAACAGCACACTCACTTGTTTGCATCACAAACTCTGGAGCAGCTTTGAGAATATTTCTCGATCCGGTTGTGCAAAGCTTTACTAAACTAATACTTCTTTCCCTGAACAGGAAACATTTCTTTATGAATATCAATTGCACGAAGTCCTTTCGACCATCCCTCCCCCCAGATGCTACTTCTCTTTTGTATAATCATCAAGTTCTCTCGGCATTTTCAAACTGAACTACGTACTGTATGTGTAACTGGTACTTAGTTGTTGACGAAATAAATGTCATGAACTAGGACGGTTCTACGATCTATTAGCATACGTACATGGAAATGACTCATTGTTATTTTCAAATACATCATGCCAATTTATGATTCACCTAATATTTTCAGTATACGCCACTTAGTAATACTATTCCTTTCTTCAGGCTGTTGTTTAGATTGACTGCTATGCTCATTTAGAATTTTTATTTCATCTTCACCTTGTTTCGGCTCAATTATATTTTCACAATTCTTAGGTTTTCTCTTATTGTAATAATAATTGATAGATTTCTTCATCAGTCAGGCTTCTGTACATTAACTTGCTTTTAAGCGTAAACAGTATTAAAATATCAGCTTATTATTTACGTAAATGAACCAAAATATTTTGCTGAAAACAAGAAATTGGTGCAAAAAGGAGTTAAAAGAATTTTAAAAAATTTAAATCAGAAGTGAAATATTTCGGAGACGAAAATGAAAAAAATTAAAAAGAAAATAAAACTAAAAAAACACTTTTTTTTACATCTAAAATGTAATCTTTGTTTATAGTAATCTTAATGACAAACAATTAGGGAAACATACACTCACAATTAAGCACACAGTGGAAAGAATGCACCTGTAGTAGATAACATTAAAAATTCTTTTTCCAAAACAAAATACTTAAATTGTAAATAGAGCAAAGCCTTTCAGCATTGAATAACCTAATGAAGATTTATATAAGCAACGAATTATTTTATGTGCATTAGTATCGTTATCTAGCCTGAAAAACATCGAGTGGCGTAAAAAAGCGTTTGCGAGCCCACTTGAGGGGTCATTAATAATAAACATAAAGTAGTTCAATGCCAAGCACAGATTATGGTTGAGAGTTTTGAATTAAGACATTTTAAAGTTTTTTCCTTAGCCTCAATTTCTACGTCAAAACTGTACTCTTTCTACTTCCTTGTACAAAGTAAAGGAAGTGAAAATCGCCAAAAATCATATTTCAACGAAAATACCCATTTTGACCGCTCTCGAATCCATTTGAACGATGTTTTTGCGTTACATCTGTACGTACGAACAGAATAAAGGACTCTTACCCAAAACGGATTGTGAAATGAATTTAAAATGGATTCAGAAGAGATTTTTTAGTGACGGCTATACGTACGTATGTATGTATCTCATATAATTCAAGAAACAAATAGCCTCAGTCCATTGAAATTTTGTATGTGGGACTTCTATAACATGTATATGTTCACCTTTTTTTTTTTTTTTTTTTTTTTCCAATCGGCCGCACCAAAATTATATAAATATATGTATATATCTCGTCTCTGTTACTCGGATCAGTTTCTTTATTCTTATACGTTGGTAAATTGTGCATTTTTTACATTAAGAGTGATTGAATTATATTGTTCTTATGTTCTGGTTAAGGTTTTTATACTTTTAGTGAACCTGTATGCAATAGTTGTAGAATTATCTACCATCAATTTAAAAACTGCTTAAGTTCCACTAAATGCATTTGAAAATAAGTAGCATAGTGAATTCAGTCAGTTCCTGCACCACCTTCAGTGTCTTTTTTCCGAGTGGGACCAAAAGTTTTTGTGTTCCGAAAAAAATTTCCTTCTGCCTAATTTTAACTAATTTCAACTCTAATTTTAGTTGTAAAAAATTTTTAACGATTTTTAGCTCTATTTGCTGGTTTACGTTTTTCTGTATTTTACAATTTTTAATGTTTTGAGGTTTAAGATAGTTTTTCCTTGCCGCAAAATGAGAACAGAATTGATCCAATGTGAAATATATTTCTAATGAAATTCGGGGAAATAGGTTTAAATGAAATGCAGCAAAAAATGTGAATAATTTAATAGGTCGTACAAGAAGGTTATGTGGTGTTCCACATCAGATTTTTTTTTTTTTTTTTTTTTTTTTTGTTTTTTTTTTTTTTTTTTTTCAAACGGGCTTTGTCCCTGAAGGACTATTGTTTTCGTTTTGCAATTTTGCGTTGGTTCACTATGTCCGTTTCACTTTTCAAGCTGTTGCCACCAAATGTTAGAGTCCTGCATTATATTTGAGGAAATTAAATAATCAAAAATCTGCATAAATGTATGTATATTTTTCGCATTGTGATAAAACAACGGTACAGAGAGCCATCGAATTTTGAATGACGTAATCCTCCTACGAATATGGGCATGGCCCATATACGTTAAAAAAAAAAAAAAAATCTGAAATGTTTCAAATTTTAAATTACGTCCAAAGGGGCGTTTTTTAACATTTTGTGTGTTACCTTTCTTTATTAAATATCATGTTCCTCGCACTTAAACCATAAGATCCAGTGCAACAGCAATATCGCAAAATAATTTCAAAAAGGAGCATATCTTTAGAATTTCCGATACAGAGACTCACGCGCTGGAGATAAAAATGTTTTTTCTGCACAACGTTGCCATTGCTCGCTTTGAAATCCTTGAGTTTGTTAATCAAAAATTCGTCAAAGTTTTAAAAAATAGGAAATCGATCATAAAACAAATTTCAAATTTGGTCTTCCACATGCTCATATTCGTTGGAGGATTACGTTATTCAAAATTCGATGACTCTATGTACCGTTATTTTATGACAATGTGAGAAATATACATACATTTACGCAGATTTTCATTATTTAATTTCTTCAAATATAATGCAGGACTCTAACATTTTATGGCAACAGTTTGAAAAGTGAACCGACATTTATCCGTCCGACGCAAAATGCCAAAACGAAACTAATAGTCCTTCGGGATTCAAATCCCTTTGGACTAAAAAAAAAAGAAAAGAAAAGAGGTTTTTTACGCTCTTACTAAGCTTACAATCTAATTCGTAGCTCAAATTTGAAACTTGGAATTTGTCTTGTTATCGATTTCATATTTTGTGAAACTTTAACGAATTTTTGATTAACAAACTCAAGGATTTCAAAGCGAGCTATGGGAACGTTGTACAGAAAAAAACATTTTTATCTCCGCGCGAGTCTCTGTATCGGAAATTCTAAAGATAGGCTCATTTTAAAACTATTTTGCGATATTGCTGTTGAATTGAATTATATGGTTTAAGCGCGATGAACATGATATTTAATAAATAAAGTAACACACAGAACGTTAAAAAAACGCTCTTTTGGGCACATGTAAAATCTGAAAAAGCTTTCAGACTTTTTTTTTTTTTTTTTTTTTTTTTTTTTTTTTTTTTTTTTTTTTTCTTCCCGAGGCATTTATTTTTCCTTACCTTCAATTTTATAAAGAGCATGCTAAACAGCAATCTAATGCCTGGGGTAGCTGAAAACTGATAACTCCGTCCTATAAATTTTGGCTGCAGCTAAAATTGTCTAAAAAAGTGTCTAAAAAATGCATAAAAAGTCATTATCATCAATTAAAAACGTTTAAATAGAGAAGGAACGTGCTTCAATATGTATACCGCTTTCTGCCATGTTTCTTTTGGGCTTCTCTGTGTAATAATCTCAGATTTGTAACATGTTATTGGCGATACATATCAATTCATTATCAACAGGACTGTAATTTTATTGTGAGAGTAATGCAAAATTTGGTATTTCTTATTACTAGTGTTATGCCATCAGTAATAATAACAGCAACTAGAACTTCAAACTAAGTTTTACGAAATTTACGTTTCATTTCCCGGTATAGTTTAAAGTTTTTTAAATAAGCATCGTTGCAATGACTTATAGAAATGCAAATTGTCTTATAGGAACGATTTCTGAAAATGCATAGCTTATATATATTTTAAATGCTTACATTTTTATCGCGGAATATTATTTTCATTTAAAAATTATATTCAAATTTTTAAATGATGTTAGTTTCATTTCTTTTATTCATACAAAACGATTGTTATTTTTCTGCTTTCAGCTGAAAAGCCGTGTGAACTGACTTGCATGCCTAATGGCGGAAGTTTCTATGCCAGGATGGATCGGAAGGTGATAGATGGCACTCGATGTCGAAATGACGGTTCCTTGGATGTTTGTGTAGATGGACAGTGTTTGGTAAAACAATTTTTTTGAACGTTTTATTGCTGAAGTACTTTCTTAAGTTGCAGATTACTCCTAGAATGTTTTACAAAATATATTTATGATGAAACTGAAAATATTTAGAAAAATAGGCCATGACTTTATACAGTAGTAGAATACTGCAGTGATACAAATAAACAATTACACGAACTGTTGCACAGAAAACAAGAAAGAATTCACATTAATAAAACGTAATGTCAAAAATTAAATAATTTTCCACAGATTTTCTATTATGAAGCGGTTTAAATAAATTAAAAGTTGCCCACGCTCTGCAACAAGATACCAAAAAGGAAGTCTCGATCTCAGAACGTCCATGGAGACTTTGGGAATGAAACAGCAAGTCCTGGTGTCTATGGGTTCTGAAATCTATGCCACTCGAATGTCTAAAGAAAAGCAGTTTTGCTTTCAGAAAATCTGTCAGAAAATCTTTCAGAAAAAAGTCTGTGTGTCAACATCATGATGTAGGCATCAAACTAAGGAAATGTTGTTTGTGAGATGAACTTACCAAGGTAGTTCTGCTTTTCTATTGCGTCACACCATGATTTTTTTGTAGTTTCCTGGTAAATTAGATTTATTGATAGGATTCAGTCATCCTTTAGAACAATGGTATTCAATCTATGGGTCAGGAACCCATTTAAGGTGCAAAAAATTACATTGGGGGTCACAAAGTGGATGAAAACACTAAATAAATCCAACTGAATAACAGATGAACAATTGATAAACATGTTTGAGAAAAATATTATTTTGTAAAGGGGAAATTTTATTAAATGATAGAGAGTTTACTCTATTTTTAGAACAATGGCAGAGAGGTAGAAAATATTTCGTTAACATCGTTATTTTAAAATCTAATTTGTTTCTGATATGCCTCTGATGCCGTTGTGTATTATCTGTCTATCATAACAACAGCTTTTGACAGATAGTCTGTAGCTTTCTGTTGCCATAGAAAAGAGCCTTAACCCATTTTTTATAGGAGTGTCTTAAATAATTGTTTTTCACTTTGCTGTCGCGGCAAACTTAATGATGAATTAACTTTCCCTGTTCAAAATTCGCCTAAAATAAAATGACTATAAAGCATTCATTTGGCTCACCTCTATTTGAAGTATACTATCCTTGTTGTTATAGCAATCACCACCAACTAGTGCGATATGCAATTGCGAGACAGTTCTCCTGGTAGACAGACAGTACCAACGCATTCCTTTCCAAATGGCATGCACGTAAAGAAGTGATGAGAGCCCAGATTCTACTTACCGTCCACGTTGGATATCTGTGAGATTAATTATTATTTGGCGTAAACTACTTAAACGGACTACTTTTAAAGTTACAATTTTATGTTTCTTCATGAATAAGTGACTAAAAACTGGTAGGATGATTCAAAAAACAGACAGTGAAGGAAAAAATGACGAGAAGTACGCTTCGATTTCGGCTGCTTTAACTTCCAACATCGATAAAATAGATTTGCCTCTACAGATCCGAGACATAAAATAATAACGAGTTCATAAGTTTGACAACTAGTTTATAATATATGGTTTTATATGTATCGAAGATGATGAATCAAAGGCTGTTCGTGCCTGCCAAAACTGGCAAGCGATTCACTGAAACCAAATAAACAGTAGACGCATCTATCTACACTCCAAAGATAAAACAAAATAATTTTTTCGTAAAAAATAAGGCATTTGAAATGTTAGCAAAACTTTTTATAATTTTTACCGATGCTAACAAAAAAGCATTAGAGGTTTCTTATCGAGTGAACCATCGAATTACTGAAACTGGCAAGCCGTTTACAACTGCTGAAGTGTTAATTGTTAAAGCATCCCAGGATATAGTAGGCATTATGTTTGACGAAAATGAGAGGCAACAGGTATATCAAATACCACTCTTTGATACAAAAATTTTTTGCATAATATACACAGTGAGAGCTAATGTGGAAAGCGGGCTTATAATCAGAATTCTAACCTGGATTCTAATTCTTCTGTCTGTTGGAGAAATCCACTAATTGCCTAAACGTGCACAACTAATTTGTTTTGCAAAATTTGAATACAAAAAATTACTCGTTGAAAACTTCCTTTTTTTGCAATGAAGTACAAAAGACTAGTAGAAGAAATCTTTAAACTGCTAAATTCTTACATAATGTGAAGCAATATTTCTTGAGAAAACTGCGTGGGGTACAATGATGAAGCTCATATTGTGGTAAGAAAACACAGTTGATTTCTAGCCCGAATCAAAGAAATCTCTCCCGATGTAATATTCGTTCACTGTATAATTCATATAAAGAAGCGCTTGTATCGAAAAACATGCCATGTTTGTCTGTAAACTGTCTTTGACATTGGAATTAAAATAAAAATTTTATAAAATCCCCTGCATGTATATCCTCTGCATGTGCTCGCCTCGACATTTTATCGTAGACAACGTAGCGAGGGACATTATAAGATTATTGATTATTTCAGCTATTGGGTAACCATGTTACCTCAATGATCCAAGTAGGGTCTCACTGCCAGAATGTTTGAATAACACTATTTTAGGGTAAAATGTTCGAGGCAATATTATTCCTCCTCAGTTATGTTGACGAGATTCCTCTCCCGTCCGCAAATGGTTAAACGGGAAGGCCTAAAAATAATTTGAAAATGCATAAATGCAAGTATTAAACGATTACAAGTATTTATTTCTTCTTTTAGTTTCACAGCACATGGTAAATAATTTAGTCCTACTGATTTATTAAACTTTAGAGTTCAGCTGTTATCCATTCACTTATGGACACTTTTTAAAAGTAGATGTAAACTTGCATTTTTCGACATTTATATAGTGAGTTATATTAATTGATAACTAATCATTTTAGGATTATAGTCTGTAAGCCTTTAATAACCATAGATTTGCAGACATTGTTAAACAATATCTTTGACAAAATGTGAAAACAAATAGGGTTTCAAAAAGATTATTACAGTAATTAACACATGCTTTTATTAAGTGTATAAATATAAAACCATGGGCAGCATAACTTTGTTTCTAATTATCAAATTCTTAATTTAAACTAATGTAAAAAGAAAGGGAATATGTTTACTATTACTGTTGTTTTTCTTAATGTATATTGTATACTGACAATTTGCTAGCAAATTTGAAATCCAAATTATATATCACTTTGCTGCGAAATATGCTGGTCTCTAGATACTTTATGAGGTACTTTCTCCTTCCTTTACGTATGCCTTCGCGGTACAACAGTAGCACACTCGGCGCGTATTCGAGAGGTCCAGGTTCGAGTCCCGGCGAGGGTATTGCTCATTTTTCACGTCTCTAGCATCAAAATAACCTAATGATTCAACAACTTAAACTGTCAGTAATGCTCATTTGGTTAAGAAATTACTATCTGTGAATTCGAGCTACCTTAAATTCGGACCGTATGAATTTTCATCTGGTTCAGCAACCATATGAAGACTATAGCATTTTTAAACGTTTAAACTTTACAGCGCTGCTTTAGTTTAAGTAGTGAAAGAAATTAATTAAATATAGTCATTTTTAGAGACTATTAGTTTTTCGGAGATGGAAGTAGGAAAAGTCAACTATACCTTCGCTGGTCAATACTGGTTGGAAGCGTCCGAACCATGAATCCTCCAATATTAGTAGGACATGCTAACTTCTTGCACTAAGGGAGGGTACACTGGGAGAACCGTACTATGCACATCCTTTTTCGCTTAAACAGCAGCTGAAGAAAGATGCCATATCTAGTCTGCCAAATCCATGGGGGTGGTTAAATATTACTTACCACATTTTAGTTCTTGTACCACTATTCGGATTAATTAGGCTTTTCGACGATATACATGGAACTTCAATCGGGTTGTTGTCGAAATTCGACCCACAGATCTTTCAGTGCTAGCTGAACGAGCCAACCGTTTACGCCTCAACAGCGTGCATGAAGGACAGTGGTAATTTCGTCCACCTTAACTGTAGCTATGAGCTTTTTAAGATTTATTATGTGGTTATCCAGTTTTCTGTTGCATTTTCAGTTTATTTCGCATACTTATAAAAATGATAAAATTTATTCCTATTCCACTCGAAAAAGGCTCGTATGACAATATATATCTAATGATAAAGGTTAATATTAAATATAGCTTTCAAAGTTTCTGGAAAACTCTGGATATATCTTCATCTGATTCTGTTGCATATCCTACAGATAAGATTTTTCAGAATAATCATCCCCTTGTGAGTAACCTCCCTCTTCGTTTGCTTTTGTATTCCTTTACTTTTTTCCTCAGTTCAGAATGTACTCACACCTCACAGTGACATGAAATTTGTTGAACAAGTAGTCTACCTTTTATTTTTACTTCATTTTGTTTCAGTGCAGATTTCATTTTGCTTCATAAATTTCGATTGAAATACAAATGAGAAATACTGGACTTTTGTTGAGAGAAGGCAACGGGAAGTTGGTTAATTTATGTATTAGGTAATTAATATTTGCATTGAAGGGGATTGCTCATTTCATTGTAATTTTTGTATTACATATACAATTAATTGTATATGTAATACATTTTTTTAATTTGTTGTTGTTTTTATTTTTGCAGAGTAAAATTCTGCGCAGTTTTTAAATTTAACGTTTGGTGTTCCCTTCAGGCATTTTTCCGGTACATTTAAAATCCAGACGAAGGTTGGCCTCGTAGCTACTAGGAGATAATAAAACAATTTCGAAATTTAAATTTTGACTTGCAGATGCTTATATTCGCGTGGAGGACTATTCGATTTATTCAAACTTTAATGGCTCTAGGTATATTTTTTTTTCCAATGCGATAAATATACATACATGCATACAAATTCATCATTATTTAATTTCTTTAAATATAATACCTAGCAATAATATTTGGTGGCAACAATTTGAAAAGTGATACAGCTGTTTATAGTGATTCGACGCAAAATGCCGTTTCGAGACTAACAGCCATTCTGGGCTACCGCATCTTTGAAATAAAAAAAAAAAGAGAGAGAGAGAGGGAGAGAAACGTATTTTCCCTGTTCCTCTCTCTCTCTCTCTCTCATTTAATGTTACTTTTATTTTTTTAACATAAAACTTCTAAGCAGTTAAATCATACGTGAGACATGAACATTAACACATTCGTTTCTAACGCTCTACATGGCCATGAATTTTGCAAAGTTTTTGAAATTCCTTAGTCACCAACTTCTTCCAGCTCAATCGATGTTGACAAAATTTGCAAATAATAGAGCTAATCATGGTAAGGCTTGTTTCATAGCTAAACGTTGGATTGTCGATATATTTTACTGAATGACCAGAGTTCAGTCAAAACTGATTTTTCTTACCGTGTCTATGAATAAAGAGATCATTTTTAACTCCTTTACGCGTTTATTTGATTTTTGTTGCTGTTGTTATTCTTATACTGCAAACATGATAGCTTTCGTAATTTGTTTATCAGTTCATTGCTCTTTTTCCAAATATGTAAATAAGCTATCAAATAGAAAAAGAAAAGGAAAAAAAGTATGATAAACTTATTATGAGCTTAATTCAGATTTCAGTGCAGAGAAGTGCTCCCACACGTTTAAATTTTAGCATCTGTGAATCAATTTCCAGTCTTATATGCCTGAGGCATATTTGTTGTAAGATCAGTTACTTTAACTGATAAAAACAGAGAATCGAGTAGCCGTAACTCAAGATTATGTTTCTTGGTTGCCTTTAAGTAATTGTGCAGATCTTGTATTTTTACACTGCAAATAGCAGTAACGTTATAGAGACATTAGGATATTTTGAAAGGAAACGATGTGAAAAATGTGCAAAGCCCTCGCCGGGACTCGAACCTGCACCTCTCGAAAACGTGCCGAGTGTGCTATCGTTACACCATGACTGCATGCAGAAAGGAGAGAGAAAATACCTTACATACTCCCCCTTTTAAATGACGACTGGGGATTAGGGGGACCCAGTAGCCAAATCCTGTGGTGAAGAATCATCATCCACCACCTTTTAGTTCGGGCGCCACTGTAGGCGCCACATTAGGATTTTTTGGAAGCAGGAGATGTGAAAATGTGCAGTGCCCTCACTGGGACTCGAACCTGGACCTCTCGAATGCGCGCCGAGTGTGCTACAGTTACACCAGAAAGGAGGGAGAATATATCTTATAACGTTTATTTTGAATTTCTGAAGAGCAAGATTATACTTTAATAACTTCAATTGGTGTGCAAGTATGTTTATTTAGAGTTCGACTAAGTTAGCTTTAAAATTAAGTTAAGTAGTGTAGTCAGAAATAGAAAGACAGTTTCCTACGAAATTGTCGGTATTAACGACTGTTTTGTTAGATTTTCTTCATTAAAATGAAGATTATTTTATTTGTACAGCCTGTTGGATGCGATAAAATCTTGGGGTCAAGAACTAAAGAAGATCAGTGTAGAGTCTGCGGAGGAGACGGTAGCAGTTGTCAAGTTGTCAAAGGAATTATCGACAGCAATGACTTTGACGTAGGTAAGTCATTTTTTACCATTCTACTAAATCTGTCTGAACTGGTGTAAATGCAATTTTTAGTTTTTATTTATTTTTATGACTGTACTACTAAAAATCTGTTTCTTAGAACTATTTCTAGATCACGTAATCCGAAGGCATCCTTATTAGCTCAATCTGTCTCGAAATTCTCTTCGATTTGAACACTTCTACCTTATCTTAGAGTGAGGTCCAATTGAAAAGTTCTTAGACAGAAGCTTCTTTCGTACCCTCCGACGCGAAATTTTTGTGTTCTTTGAAGAAACTACAGAGCTGTGAATAATAGTATAATGATTCTGAGATCTCTTGAAACCAGAGGGTTTTGTAGTTTGTAGTCTGAGTCCTCTTAAAACCCGAGGGAGAAAATTCAATTCTTAGGTAGGCGGCAATCAGAACTTGCTCAGATTATCCATGGAATGCATGGACATATACTGTATCATACACACATAAGTATACATATACTGTATCATACACACATAAGTATGTGTCTGTGCATGTAAACTAAAACAATTTTCATGCAAGTATTAATTTGCATCTTGTCGAAATTTAACCAAAGTGCACGTAAATTAAACGATACTTTCAAATCGATGAAATACTTTGTAATTAAATATGGTGACACTGGTTAAATATATCTGTTACTAATGGCAATAATAATTAACTCTATATACCTCGAATATTAATTTCTTATGTTAATGAGTGATCGCAAAGGCAAAATTTTGTAAACTGCGGTTTCTTGAATTGCTACTACGTTATGTCGTTCTGTGCGTTGGGATGTTCTTCTCAGTATTAGGCTTAGTACAGTGCAAAGACAAGCTGACTGTAAACCGGCCTATGATTAAATTATAGTAACAACTTGAATTAAAGTAACAAACTTGAAGTTAAATCAAAATTCGGAGACGAGATTATAACACGATATAAGAACTTATAAAATGACAAAATTGGCAGTTATTCGAATACCAATTCCAGGTCGTTCTTGGCCAACATCTTCTGATGACTATACATCACATTACTTGCCAAATGCAGTCATCAAGAGATTGTCCGAAGCAATGGATACCACAAAATAGGAAAGCCGATATATTGTTACGTTTTTCTTCTGACACCAGTTGTTGCATTATTTTCTTCCTTCGCGTTCATACGGGGTTCGTAGATTTGGAGTGAATAACGACGACACTTGATAAAGTATCAAAACACACTTTATTATTTACCAATATTAATCAGGACAGCTCCAAAACACTTTTACAGTCGTCGAAGATCTGAAGATCTACTATAAACACGCTGGAACAATCAGCGACACAGCCTTCAAACTGTCAGGCAATAACGGTGAAGACAGCTTCACTGCAAAGCACCAGAGTACAGCTCCCGACTCTGATCGGTCGTTCTCGGAACTCTTGAGACTCTCCACGTTACAACTCGCGATGCACTCGACAACACCAGAGCACAGCTCCCGACTCTTCGGTCCAGTCGTTCCCGGAGCTGAACACGCTCTCTCGACGATGCACTAACCGCGATGCACTAAGAGACTTTTTCGGTGAACTCGACATCCCACTCGGCACTCGCTGCCCGGTTGTCAACTCGATCGACTCGAGACACTAACTATCTCGCACTCTAGAGGCACACTCACTAACTGACTGCGGACTAGCAGGGTTTATATAGCTTTCGGCTTGTGTTCAAGAACATTCTGGGATAAACTAGTAAGAATTCGTTCCAGAAGGTTCTCTCTCCGTCCATGGCATATCGCCAATTCTGTCGCAAAATGGGCAATTTCTCGCCAAATCTGGCAACCCTGCCTTCCCTTGCCATTTTATGGCAACCCCAAAACTGCTTTGCGGGGAAGTCATCTTACCGCACCTGGACATTTCATAACAATATTGTTGCGTGCGTACGGGTTCGTTATGAAAGGAATGCACAAGTCCGATGAAAAATGAACAAAAATTTATTATTATCACAACAGAATGCTTAAATTTTCTCAAATTATGATGCAGTATTACAATATCTCACAGTAGTTATCTTTTAGCTACTCAAATGTCCAATAGAACGTAATTCAAAACAGCTAAAGAAAGCTAATCCGCGAATTCGCTACAATCAACAAGAGCAGTTTTCTAAACAACAACAAACTAAGCAACTCTACAAACTGAAATCGAAATCGAGTCAATGGCTAGGCGGCAATTAGTAGCCAACCGCTACTTTAACAACTCTACAAACTGAGATGTTTTCCTCCTTTTATAACATTTTAAAATCACGCGCTAGAATTTTCCAGTACTTTCTCGAAATAAAAAAAAAAAAAAGAGATATTTATTTATTTAACGCACGCGCTCTTATATTTTTAATTTTCCGGCTTAGCTTTCTTTTAATATTCGTCACGCGCTGCACTGCGCGAGAAATAAAACCATTTAATTTATAATTGAACTAACATTAGCTTTTTTAATACCAAATTCGTAACAATATGTTAACATTTTATGATACTCGACACTTGATGCAAGCTAACTTCATTGCACTGAAGGTCGTCTGCGAACCTGATACACTGAGCGTGCTGAGAGGCCTTGTGCTTGTGTATTGAAACTGTGTATGTGAGGGTGCTGTAATGGTGGGTAGTAGTCAGCACAGAATTTCAAAATAACAAAAAGAAGGCGGACTTCCCGTGCCATCAGATCATCTCACTTCCGTTGCCACCAATGTATTAATTCTTAATGGGTATCTGAAGCGCTACACAGATATGGTCATCTGGCTTTGGCTGTTGGAGGTATCAAGTTTCCCCATTTAGGATGATACTATGGATCCACGAGTTGCTAAGAAGATACTTTAATGGTTAAACCAAATGCGTGTTGTAGATTAGAGACCAAAATTTCATTATCCACCGTTAGGGCACACATGCATAGATTAGTACTGCGTGTTTTTTTTTTTTTTTTTTTTTTTTTTTTTTTTTTTTTTTTTTTTTTTTTGTATAAGATTTTAAATGTTGTCTTTTCAATGTATTTTCTTGTTATTAGGCTATAATGACGTATTATTAATACCAGTTGGAGCGACTTCCATTCTTATTCAGGAAGTAAAACCAAGCAATAATTACTTAGGTAAGTATTCTTTTTTATATTATAGTTTAATACCTCTCAAGAGATCCCCATAGCGTATTTACTAACCTTTAAAAACATACGCGGGGTACTACATACACCGTTTAAAATAATCTGATGTGTTGACCACATCACTTCCTTGTACGGAATATTAAATTATACGCATCTTTTCCTGCATTTCATTTAAACTTATTTCCTCGAATTTCATTAGAGACATATTTCTCATTTTATTCTCACTTCGCGGAAAAGCAAAAATACATAAAAACTCAAAATAGCTTCATTAAAAATTGAAAGATATAGAAAAACATAAAACACCAAATATAGTTAAAACAATTAAAAACATTTTTGCAATTAAAATTACAGTTTCTACGCAAAAACAAAGAATTCGGCCAGCAGGCAAGAAGGCAGATTTTCGGTGCACAAAACTAAAAGTTTCCTTTTGGGACCAAAAGAAAAAAGATACTGAAGGTGCAGAAAGACTTAATTCACTATTCTGCTAAGTTTCAAATTTAAACAAATATGGTGCCTATGGTAAAAAAATTAGGCTTAGCCGTACTTAAACAACTTTTAATATGTTGATAATTCTAGAACTATTGCATGAAGCATAACTAAAGGCATAAAATCCTTAACCGGATGATGTGAACAACATAATTCAATCATTTTTAAAGCAAAAAATACACAAATTACCAACATATAAGAATGAAAAAAACTGAGGTCACTGAGCCGAGTAACAGAGTGGCATATATATATTTATATACTTTTGGTGCAGCCGATTACAACCAAACTCGGAGGTACACAACTGCATGTTATACCAGCTCTGTAAACAAAATTCCAGTGTTCTAAGGCGACGTTTTTTGAGTTATGCGAGATACATACATACGTACGTACGTACAGACTTCACGAAAAAATCCCTTCTGAATCCATTTTAAATCACTTTTGTAATTCGTTTAAAGGAAATAGTCCTTTATTCTGTCCTTACGTACACATGTCTCGCAAAAACATCCTTAAATTGCAGTCGATAGAAGTCAAAATGGATATTTTCGTTTGAAATGTGATTCCCGGAATTTTTCGTGATTACAATACTTTCTTTACTTTGTACAAGGAAGTAAAAATGGTGCAAATTCTAAAAACATCATATCGTCTGTATCTAAATTTTGTTCATCTTCTATACCAGGGACATAGCCAGCCTTGAATTTGAAAGGATTCCTACACGTTGAAGGGTAATTTATCTAAATCATACTAATTTTACCATTTTAATTAGCTGAATCTCTGTCAATAGGAACAAAATGTCTAAATCAAATTTATAGTTTCATACTTTTTTTAGTTTTTAAAACTTTAATTTATGTATTTAATTAAATTTAAGTTTAGCTTTTTTATTTAAATAATTATAACCAATATTTTAATTTTTAACACACTGTAATAAAGAATTTATATTCTTTTTATATAAATGTTCTTATTAACACCCTGGCACTGGTATCCTGAATGCAGATGGCAAATACTGCATAGGTGAAATATATTTATGATTTCACTATTATATAGTTTTGTTTGGGCTAAATATTTTAATAATGGGGGGAAAATAGACATTTAATTAAAAAGTTGAACAAATTTAAAGCGCTTTAATTTTTAGAAATGTTTAATCCTTTATTTAAGCTTTCATTTTATTATTTATCAGATATTTAACTTCACACAGAACCTTGTATTCACCTCAAAATCGCTTTTCATAATCATTGCGGTTTTTTAATTTTTTTTTTTTTCAAATAAAAAGAAAAATAAATTAAAATTATTAATTACAAGAAAAGCAAGGATTTATTGACATTTTGCGTTGAAATGTCGGTTCACTTTTCAAATTCTTGCCCCTAAATATTATATTTAAAGAAATTAAATAATGAAGAATCTGCATATATGCATGTATGTTTATCGCACTGTGATAAAACGACGGTACCTAGAACCATCCAGTTTTGAATAACGTACTTTTCCACCCGAATATGGCCATCTGGAAGCCAAATTTGGGATTTGGAATTTGTTTTATTATCCATTTCCTATTTTGTAAAACTTTAACGAATTTTTGATTAACAAACTCGACGATTTGAAAGCGAGCAATGGCAACACTGTACGAAAATAAAAATTATCTCCAGCGCGAGAGACTGCGTGTCGGAAATTCTAAAGATAGGCTCATTTTAAAATTATTTTGCGATATTACACTGAATTTTATGATTTAAATGCGAAGAACATAATATCTAATAAATAAAGGTAACACACAAAACGTTAAAAAAAAAAAAAAAAAGCCACTTTGGGCGTAATGTAAAATCTGAAACTTTCAGATTTTTATATTTTTTTAATTTATTTTTAATTTTTAAGCATTTTGATCTTCTTTAATAAATTTTATGATGGTTAACACTGATATAAATTATTCTTCTGTAACAGGCCTTCTAGGTTTTCTAATAATTTTAAATTAGAATAATATTCTGTAACCTGTAAAGGCATGATATCCAATGTCTGTAACAAGATCTTTAAGTTTTTAACTGGACGCTTTAAAAATTTCAAGAACATTACCAGAATAATGAAAATAGTGTTATAATAATAAATATATTACATATTTTGTTGGATTATTACTGAAGCAAATATTTATGCTAGATTCTTATTAATCAATCTAACATATACCGAAAACAAAACATTTACATCAAAGTTACAAAATTTTTTCTTGGTTAAAAAAATTTTAATTATTATCCAACTGAATTTCTTAAAATTGCTGCATTTTTTGACATAATTCTTCCACGCCAGAGTGTCCTGGCATTCAGGGCTACGCCCCTGTTTTCAATAACTTTTAAATACCGAATTACAGTTTAAAAGTTAAAATACACATCCCATCTCTTCTTTTCGCTTATTGCTTTCCACACGCAAGAATATTAATCTTTTCATGCAGCACTCATCCGAGGAATTATACTAGAAAATACGCGTGTTGTTAAAAAGTTACTTGCTGACAACGCTAAACATCAGTGTCATCAATCAAACTCCTTCACGAAGGGTTTCGTTTTAGGCTTACGAACGTATCACTTCGGTAAGGCTTTGGTCGTTACGCAACTGAAACACACCTACATATATCCAACGTACAGTGAATTTGGAGAAGATAGTTTAAAGGAAGAAAAGAGAATCGGGCCAGGGTTACTGGTGCATCTATGCGAAAATCAACACGCTTAGATCGATGTGCCAGAAAGCATATAACGGTGATCTCATAAACACGATAATCGACATTACGCAGCATGTACAGAGAGCTTTTAATTTTCCAAGATTTATTTTATCATCAAGATCAATTTTTAGATGATCGGTCAAAAACAGCTCAATGTAACCTTTTATGAAGGCTGCCATTGAAGCAAAGATTAAAATGTGTCAAGATAGGCCCTGATGAACAATTGAATGTCACCGATAAGAGTCTGCGGGCAACGTGAAGATAGGTTCAAATCTCCTGCGGTTGTTGAAAGCCATACTTCTCGACAACCCTGGTTTCCATCAAAGGCAAAATATGTGGCGAAAATTTATCGCTGAAGTACTGCCTGGTTCCCGGGGTGTTTTCCCTCAAATTTGATGCAGAAGCATTACAGTAGCTAGGTTCAGTAATGCCTCAATCTCCTGTGGTACTACTGTGCTAAGTGCTGGCCTAGCTTCTACCAGTACCTCAAAATCGACGCGGAAGCTTTAACGTTCAGCAATATCTCAATCACCTACAGTACTACCAGCGTGTTGGCCTAGCTTCTATCTGTACTTGTTGGTAAAGTGTTGCAGTGGTTGCACTACCTTATCTTCAGCAGTTGCAAAGTTCTGTTTGCCAGCAAGATAAACGTGACTGCACGTTGTAATTATGAACAGACAGTCCTACAAGGTACATAGATGATTCCTTGACCACCCAAATCTCTACATTTCATATGTACTCCAAACATTTGTAAGACATGATTAGCCGTCATCTGATTGATCTTCCACAGTTTTAGCCGGAGGATGAACTGTGAAAGGTAGTTAAAAGCATATGGTCATCCATAACTCAAGATTCTATCATCACGTTGATTTCAAAGACCTCATTGATCTCGAAGGGTTTCTTCTAGTATTGCCGTAAGAAATGTTATTACTTTCTCTGATCCTGTTGTAAGAAAATTGTATTGAATTATCTTTTTGAAATTACAGTCATTTATGCATTCTCTGTCAGTCTGCCAATTTTAATTATCTTCTACTCACTCTTTCAAAGTGTTGCCTTTTATCTAATATGAAGTGTATATGAAAGGCACTAAGGAACATGATTCATTGAAAAACACTGCAAAATTTCAAAGATTTCTTGCCTGCCCTTAGTTACTAATTCGAACGGTTAAAGTTTGTGAGATGTCAAGAGAGGCTGAAATTTTCATCCAAGAAGTATTATCATTTACCACAATTATCTTGTGCTCATCACTGTTTTTTAACGAATGATTTTTGACAACACCTTTTTCAAATTTGATTTAGTGCAAACTTTTTATGCTATTTATGCTACGAAAGCGTACATTTACAACTCTTTTGTATCATTTCAGCCATTCGAAATGCAGCTGGTGACTTTTATTTAAACGGTAAATGGAGAATTGAATTTTCCAGGGAAATACGGCTTGCTGGGACAATATTTATATACGAAAGGAAACCTCAAAGTTACTTGGCTCAGGAAACATTGAGAGCAAGAGGACCTACAACTGAACCTATTTTCATTGTAGTAAGTTAAAAATTTCTTTATTGTGATATCACTCAGTCTTCTCTCTTCGCCAAAGAAATTATCCCCACATTATATTTTTAACGTCATCTTAAAATTTTTAGCGTCATCTTAAAATAGGTGTATTTCTAGGCACACTTGCAAGAAATTAGAGTTTTTTATTCAAAATTTTCTAAGATATATAGGAATTTACATGTTGGCGCTTTGAAATTTAGCATCTTTTTTTTTCGGGGGGGGGAGACATAATAACACCAAATGTGGTTTACGCACTTTGTTAAAATTATTTGAAAGTATGGATGATGGCATTTCAGAAAAAGTCCGATTTTGTATCCAAATTCCAAATACCTATATTAGAACAATGCTATATACAAATCTAATATATTTTCTATGTCGCGCTTTCGAGACATGAAAAACGCGATTTGAATTTCGTCAATCGGCCCAGAAGAACGGCAGATATAGAACTGTCTCATTTTGTTTCTTTTTTCTTCGGTGTACATTAATTATTTTGTTTTCACTAACGGCTTCCATGAGTCTTCGTCTCTTTTTGACCTCTCTGTGTCTTTTACTCTCCAGTGTAAATTTTTGGCGCCTCACATATTGAGCGCTATTGCCTCCTACACATTTCTTTAGTTGGTATCACCAATACATCAAACTTACTGTTCAAAAATCAAAAATCCTACTGCATGAATAATAAATAGATTAACCGCTTTATTATCCTTTGTTGCATATGTTAGATAAGTTCCAAATGAAACATTGATTCAGACTGGAAACCGCACTAACCATGCATAAAAGATTTGCTGCATAAACTTAAATTAATACACATAATGGTATGAATGTGAGCAATATGGAACTAAATTATGGGTGCTTCAGTACAGTTTCAGAAAGGGATTCTCATCTTTTACCCTTAGTTAAGTTTTGTGTATTAGTTACTATACTATCCATAACTTCCACAGAATTAACTTTCAAATTATTTTCTCTTGTATTAACAAACAGAAAAATAAACGATAAATGTATTTTTGAAATTCGTATGTAATATAAATATTTCAGTACTAAGTTCTTGACGTCATCCTAGATTCTTAAAGGATTCGTAATAGCTCTTGTCATTGGGATTTTGTATACAAGGACTAGAAATTTTATAGTATTCATAGCACCGCCAGAATGAATCTCGATGGCATCATAAATGCTTTTGTAGATACTTTCGAAGCTCGATTTACTCTAAATGATTTTCATAATCCAAATAATATAAATGTGCACGTTAACAAATTTATCAGCGCAATTATCACACTCGCAATAGCCCCATTTCGCCAACAGAAGTTAAGGTTGTAATAATAAATCTAAATACTAAGTAAGCTTTGGGTTTTTATGAAATTACAAATATGCCAAAGTTGGTATGCATATAAACCTTTACCGTTCCAACTATCTGTGCGAATAATATTAAAGTTACACAATCATGAAGAATAAACCGCCTGCGGCGAAGCAGATTTTCAGTTAGAATAATGTCTCTGACTCAAAATGGAACTCTCAGATAATGAAATGTTTCGGCTGAAAATGAAATACTTAGGTAGTGGAATGTTTCGGCAAAAAACTTCTCGTTCTTTTATGCAAATTGGCCATTGTTCCTCAAAATAGAAACCTTCATAAGAATGGCCAACTTTAAAGATACCCATATTCTTATGAAGATCAACTTTTAATTTTTTTAAAAAAGCAACTTTCTTAAAAGTGCTATTTTAGTAGGAAAAGCAAACAAAAACCCACTTACATAGTAGCTCCTTTCCAAGAAAATACTCACAACTTTAAGAAGTTCATTTTTGTATAAATACACAGAGTATTTACACATTTTAGAGCGATTTTGGAACTGTTTATTTGAACTTGTAAAAGTCGGCATCATGATTTTCATGATAAAAATTCTTTTCATAAAATTTCTGGGGTACTAATTTCCATTTCTACTCTAGAAAAGATCAGAGTTATAACGGTTTATACTGGAAACATCAAGAAACTTCGCAGAAAAATGTATATATGCAACACTTGTATCAGTCTTCATTTTTTCAAGGAATGCAGTGACATTTTTCGAAATATTACTAGTTGCTTTATCTTGATAAAATTTCACTCTTTGAAAGCCACTGGGATAAAAAAAAAATGTAACTTCTCCTGTAAATATTGGACGTAAAACTTTCGCTTGATAGTACGTTCAGTTAATTTTAACACTTTTTCCATTCTTCTTATTTTTAATATCTGATTGTAAGGGAGTTCTGCGACAACCCCTTATTGACACTTTCTTTGCACTGGCGGAACCAGGTTTGCACACTTTTTTCTCTTGGTTTTTGGTAATTAATACACTTCTTTTTTGTTGCAGTTATTTAAATAAACGTAGCAACAAGAGTCACAATGTATTTCTATTTATTATGCTTATTCAAGGGTCACAATGTTTTTCAGGTTATCTTCTGCTGAATAGTTTTCATACAAGGTTTCACAAATTGTTCTATATTGAGCCACAAGCCTCGACAAAAGCTGGTGAACATTACGTTTTTAGCTTTCTTAAGTTGTAAATATTGGTTTATTGTCTTATTTATTGTTGCTACAGATGTATTTAAAGACTTAGAAATTTATTTCTGCGTCAGCTTACTTTCTCTTGTTACAAACGATTTAACTTTAGAAACATTAGAAACAGTACGAAGCTTTTTCGGGTATTCGTTTGGAGACTTCATTCCATGCAGAAGTAATGACTGATTAATTCCAGTTAATAATGTTGTTTATTTTGCACTAAGAAATTTTAATACCATTTATTTCACAACTATTTTGAATTATGAAATAGAAATATTTCTTCTGGAAAACGCGAAAAATATATCCTTCAATCTACAGCTTGTTTACATGTGATACATGTTAGAACCAAGTCTCAGTTGTTATCTTTCTTTCATAGTTTGTTATTGTAAGGGTGGCAACCATCTGATCTTCGTTGTAGTTTTTTGCTGTTCTACGGATTTTGAAATAAACATGACGCGTTGGAGTATTAGATGTAAAACACTTTCATTTTATTAGGAGAAAGGGGAACGGTTAGTTCTTCAAATCTCGAACAATACATACGACATTTTGAAAGAAGAGTAAATTTAGTAGGAGACGATATTTCTCATTTCAAATAATAAGCTACTGCCAGATATTTTTATTCCAAAACATTTGCATTTTTTTAATTCTCTACCGAAATCATTCTAAAAATGTGTAAATAAATACCCTATGTATTTGGTAAAATTTAGCGTGCTTCCTAATAAACTAATGATTTCAAATTTTGCACACGCACTTCCAGGTTATGGATTCCTATGCGATATGGCGAAGCAATTTTTGTCAAATTTCGATTTCGAATTTTTTTTTATTTCATATTTAACCAATTTTTCGCCCCTACCTTCATTTAATGAATAAACTAAAATCTCACAAATTTACTGTTTGCATTAACGGATAGAGCAAAAAAGCATCTTTTAAATGAAATTTCCATCAAAATTTAACTTCAATTCTGACATATTGGCGAAATTTTGAAATTCGCTGGTTTTTTTCCCCGACGGTTTGACATTTATGATTTTAAAATTTCAATACCTAAAAATGTACTAGTTAAATGTAAATTTTAAACGTTTCACTGCTTATAAAACAAAATTTTCGTACCCTTTTGAAATAGGAATGTTAAAAAATATAATAATAGAATTATTTCCTGCAATTTTCAATAATAAGTGTATGCTACAGTCTGAAACAAAAGAGGAGGTATTCCCGTCTTCCTTCCGTGCTTCTGGGGAAATATGTTTCAAAGTTATGATGTACTTACATCATAATGGAATCTACCGCTTCATATAAACTTTTTTCCCATTTCGTAAATTTATATACTTTTTTCCATCATTTAATTTTAAAATCTCGTTTTATAATTTCATTGTATAGTACAGAATTTTCTGTAATGGAACATAAAAATTCTAACAGCCAAAAAAATCTGTCATAAAGATTTGAAATCTTCCAGGTTGTGAAAGAAACTCCTTACCCGCTTTTAAAACAAAAATGATAAAGAAAATGTTAATTAGATTACTTTCTAGAATATTTTTTACCAGCCGCCATGCATAACTTTTATTTAACTCCCTCATGCTATCACTATGGTCGAAGCGTTATCAGTCATTTATAATGTTGCGTGCGTACGGGTTCGTAATAGATTGAATGCGCAAGTCCAATAATGGGTTAATAAAATTTATTTTTATGAAAGGAAATGCTTCAGAACTCTGGAATTTTCCACAGAAATATTCGTACAAGTATCACACAGTATAACTAATAATTACACTTCAAACTACTAAGAACGTTAAACACAACGCAATGCAAAGCGCGACTGAAGAGAAAGTTATCTCGCATATCTCAGTTCCCGTTGATCTAAACAACTCTCAACAACAATAACTAAGCAACTGAACTCAGATGCTCTCTGTACGGATTTCCATAGTTTTCACCCGGCCACGAGATATTTCTAGTATTTTCTGTTTCTCGAAATTACTGAAAAGCAAGAAGAGCATGGAATTACGGTTACAGCTAGCATAGTGGTCAATCACAGTTATTGAATTTCAATACATATTACGGTGATGCAGGGATCGGACCAAAATGTCGCCAAATGGTCGTCACATATTGCGACTTTTGGCGATTTTTCGCCATATTACCAAGATACCCATTTACTTAATGTTAAATGCACTTACCCCCCACGTATTCTTACTTTTATGGCATAGCTTTCTTTTAAAATTTGTTACATTATATACAAAAATACAATTTTACTTATAATTCTACTAAAATTACCTAAGTACAAAATTCCTAACAATAAATTATTCCCCGATAAGCTACCAAGCTCAAATTTTGCACGCATGTTAATTTTAATGTTAGTGCAGCGTCATAAATAAATTTTTTCAATATTTAATTAAGTTATTTATTTAATTAATTTATGCTGAAACGATTTTTCGCATTTATCTTCACTTGATGAATGAACAAACTAAAATTCTCAG